GTGATACTGCATCTAATAAGTGGAATAAAGTATATAATAATTAAAATAAATTTATTCTTTACTCTTTCAATACGGATTTCCAGATGTTATAAAGCAATCAACCTGAGAAACTTAAATAATTTATATTGTTTTTACTGTGCAATCAGAGCAGACTTTGCCATGATGCAGAACAAAAAAACATGGATTGAACAACAAATTCTTTATTTAAGTTCCATAGAACTCCTCTCGTGCCTACTAGGACTCTAATAACAGTTTGGAGACGGCTTGAATGGGTAATGAAGATAACTATTATAAATGCCCCCCAGTGGCACAGTGGTATGTCTGCGAATTTACAACGATAGAATCCGGGTTTCGATACCCGTGGTGGGCAGAGCACAGATAGCCCATTGTGTAGCTTTGTGCTTAGTTACAAATAAATAATAAACAAACTTTTATAAATGTACAACGGTTCGACAAGATTAGTCATAATCAATCTTGTCGAAACGTTGTACATTTATAACAAAGTTTTCTTCATTACCCATTCAAGCTGTCTCTGAACTTTTATTATCTAAAAAGTGGGTCATTCGTCATCAACTCTACTAGGACTCTGTTTATGTTAACGCTTACAGTCACTAAGTAGCTCATTTACAAGAATAGACCTAACTCTATAAAATCGTATAGTCTCACAGTCGCTTGCTTACAAGTACAGATTTAACTCTGAAAAACCGTCTAGTCACGGGGGAACGATTTAAGTAAAGAAGGTTGACAATAACGTGTGAGCGTAGTTTAAAATCCTTGCACAGTATATCAAATAAGCTAATAGAATTAAGTGAAATGTCTTGGAGTCAAGTTGAAAATTCACGCACATAAACCTTGTAAATTTGACGAATAACATTTGATTTATTATTATTATTTGTATATATTTATTAATTCCACCTTCGCTTTATTAATATTCAGTAGTTGCTTAGAAGTTAAAATTACATATTGTAAAGAATAATATTTTTCTTTTGTCTACAACATGGAACTAGCCAACATTTGACACTATATATATATATATATTGCGATTTTAATGATTTGTGTCTAACCTTTTTTTAGAAATGTAAATAACTTATGAACTGCTTAAATTGCGGCTGCAAAGAAATAAAGAATTAATAAATTTGACAACCATTCTTTACAGACATAACTTGATTTAGTAGTACTTGCTTGTTACTTGGCACGTATTGTTTAAGGGTTTTCTTCAGTGCTTGAGTTGCCCGTACAGGTGTTCAAAATGGTTAACCACTTGCCACAATAATGATTTAAATATCTCATGAAAGAAAGAAAAATAATTCCGTAAAAGTTTAACTAAAAGTGGTTTGTTCGTAGTTAAGCACAAAGCTACACAATGGGCTATCTTTGCTGTGCCCACCACAGGTATCGAAACCCCGTTTTTAGCATTATCAGCCTTCATATTTACTACTGAGCCAATGGGTGGGAGGCTGAAACTGGTAATTCAATTATGTTGGACAAAACTATTTGAATGTATAATTTGAACTTCTACTTAGTATAAGTGTTGTGTGTGTGTGTGTGGTTATTTTGTTTTGTTTTCTCAAGAAAATGGTGATTGAAATAGTGCGAGTATAAGTTGTAAGACTGATAATAACATTGATAACAATAAAACCAGGCATACTAGGTAAAATATGTTGTTCAACGTCCCTATAGAATTATATAGGTGTAGTCCCGGCGTTGTCACATACGATGACGATAACATCTCTTCTCTGACTAACGAATTAATATTAATGTTTACCAAGAAAGTGTTGACGCGTTTTGCTCATATCTGTTCTATCTGTGTGTGTGTGTGTGTGTGCGTCAAAATTAAACCCTTTACGGTTTCTGTAAAAGCGATCTTAATAATAAACACAAAATATTTTTTAATGATCTTAACGCCGTAGGGCAACAATCTAATAAGAATCAGACTTCGTTGGTACTGTATTTACATTTAAAACATAAATATTGATCATTACTAAACATATTATAATTAGCGATATTTGAGATAATTAATTGGGTGTAGTCTTCTTGTCCAGTACTTTGTATTGGATTTATGCTAACTTATTTACAAGCTTTTTCATTTTTTCATTCATCACTACGTTATTATTTGTGCAGTTGGCGGAATTTATTGATCTCGTATTTAGGTTTAGTTAATTGTTTGTGCTATCTGTTTTTACACTTGTATATTTTCTTCATAATAACTAGAGCACTTATAAATTTGTATCTTTGTAAGTTAGGGTAAAAGTACGGCTTAGATTTATTTTGTCTGCGAGCAATATTTCCCCAAGAAAATATACATGAGAATGATTTTTAAATTCAACTATGAGAAAGCAGTTATTCCACTTGCTTTGTTACTGGTTTTGGTCGGGCGTGGCCTAATGGTTAGCATGTTAGGTGGCGAATCAAAGGGTCCGGGAATCGAGACGTAACGCAGCTGTACGTTATTCGCACTTTCAGCTATGAACGCGCTATGAAAGTGACAGTTATTTACTTCAAAGAGCCGAACAAATTCGTTACAGAGGCAGGTGCTGCTAGCGGACTGCCTTCCCTCTGGTCGGTAATTAAAAGTTAGGGACAACTATACCTTAACCCTAGGAGTTTCTGATCTGGCTGTTTAGTTGTCATGCGCATAAGGTGCCGTTCAGGCTGAAAATTCCAATTTTGCAGGTTTCTAACCATGTAGACTCTTCAGTAAAGGTTAGCAAACTATTACGGATTTACAACACTAAAATCAGGGGTTCGATTCCCCGCGGTGGACACAACAGATAGTCCAATGTAGCTTTGCTCTAAAACAAAAAACAAATGACCCCTGATGGGACAGCGGTAAGTCTACGTACTTACAACGCTGGAATTCGGGGCTCGATTCCCCGCGGTGGCCAGAACACAGATATCTTAATGCGTTAAAACAAACAAACAAAACATTGATTATTTTCTTTATCACTGTAAGCGAAAAAGCAATCAAATTATTACATTAACCTCAATTAACAAAGTAATTAATATGAGCAATAGAGACAGTAACAAGTACATAGTTTTTGTGGTAGACCTGCTAATAATTAATTATCTTTATGTTCATAATCAGTTATCTAAAGGTAACCAATTCATTGCCAATTTGAATAGTAAAGATATTATTTTCATTAATTAACTGTCCGCATTCGTGCCTGTTTCTAAATATCGTTTTATATATCATGATAGATACGGATTATTCTATTAGGTTGTAATGAAGGTTGGTCAGCTTCACAACCCATTATTAAGCCTTCTTTGTTTCCCCGAAAGGGACCGAAGGCCGACTGGAGGAGTCACCTGTTTTAACAAGTCGCACCACTATACAGTAATGTGTTGTCTGTCTGTAGACACTAAAATGACGTCACATAAGGGATACTTAACATTGCAATTTGTATTGTTATGATGTCAATAAAACGTACGCCTGTCATGAATCACGAAAAGACTCTGTAGACTACAACAAAGCATGACATATGAACTTCAAAAGTAAGAAATAAAAATATTTATTACTCTTAATGTTGATATTATTTACTATTAAAACAGAACACTTTCGAGGACCCTGCAGAAGTACATCTAGTAACTGTTTTTAATAAAGTGCACGTCGATATTTGTACTTTAAAATGGTCAAATAGTATGATTTTTTTTAAAGTAACTCATGTAAAATTAGTTCGTTAAACCCTATCGTATCTTATAGAGTACCGGTTTACAATCTTTTTAAACCCTTGTAACACTATGAAATGCTATGCAAAATGACTCCAATACAGTAGTGGCATTTATGTTACTATTATGCCAAAATGAAGTTAGTCTTAAATCGTTTTGCATACCACCTCCAACAGCACTGTTAGAGAGGGTATTCTGTTGAACAAAAAGGAGGTTTTATGTTATCGTCATGTTTAGTATATTACGTATTGGTTCAACGCGTTGACGAATAAGCCAATGATAACATAATATTCAATCACATGATGTCTCTACAACGCTCTGGATCAACGCGGTATGGCCCTGTAGATAATTGCCCAAAGAGAGAGTCGTGATATAGTGACTCAACGCGTTGTCGATATAGCCAATAAGACTGTCTTAATTCTTGCTATGTCTCATATTTTTAAGCATATTATTTAATACACAGGTATGAATATATTAATTTGTATACTTTCCCATCAAGGAAGTACTGCCTTGGTGTTTCAGGGGCAGGGTTTGCAGGAGTTACCCTCCTGACAATATCATGTAGCTATTTGAATGAAATAGACCAAATGTACTATGTAACGTGAAATGAGATTTGCTACTTGGACAATGCCTTAATTTAATACGCTGTGACCCTAATGGCTACCAATTTACAGGTTCATAACGCGTTGATTTAATACGTTATGACTTTGTTAACTTCGGACCTGCAGACCATAATGCATAGTCCAAAGTTAGGCTACTGGTTGAACTAATAGTTTATGTATGGCTCCCATGGCTTGCCATAAAAGTGTAATATAATCATATATATATATATATATATATATATATATATGTAGGTCGTACGTTACTACTTACTAAGTAGCATAGTGTGTGTATTACTATTATTACTCGTACGTAAAGTAGTACTTACTTTACCTTACTAATACGATA